CGAAACGATAAAATTTATAACTCGAAAAAGAAATTTACAGTGTTGGATTAACAAACCCCATACATGGTCCCGAGGGACAATAACAGCACACACATCGTGCACAAATCCTACTAATAAGAAGGAATAAAGTGCAACTCCCTTCTAGGATGATAGGAATGGGAGAGTTGCCTCTTTATACCTAGTTGAAGGAAACAACAACTGAAATAAGCTGTGACCACTGCCCTACATGGCCTAGTCAAGCTACAGAACAAAAGCTACAGAACAAACTAAACAAAAGCAGTCCAAATGAACACCCTAATAATCAGAAACAAACCAAAACAATACTATAACAACTGCAAGAAGCATAAAACCCCTAACAGCACCAAATGGACATCATAATGATCACAATCAAAATCAAAGATCAGAAGCTTCTAAATCCTCAGCAATCCCATAATTCAAGGCTCTCAGCACCCCCATTCCAATTAGCAAGAAGAGCATGATGAAGAGTAATCCCCGCAGCCATAACAATCAGATTCAGAGCATAAGCCAGCACTTCTTCCAAGATCACAGAACCAAGAACCCTGAAACCCATATCAGAAATGACAACCAGAAGAAGCAACTCAAAAACAGAACTCAATTACCCCAAGAGAAAAGCTCTTAGTGATGAGAGAGAGAGTCAGTATATTCAGTCCAGTTTTTAAGAGCTGCTAGCACAATGATGGTTTCAGGTTTTCTTCTTTTTTGGAAGATCCAAATATTCCTGGCCTTCCAAATTTCCCATAGAATATAAGCTGAAAGCTAGAGTCTTGCATTTGATAGAGCTAAGTTCCCTATAGAATAGAGATGAGACCACCAGGCTTTAAAAGATGAGGTATCTTGTGATTGGAAGTCCCAGGTCAGAGGTGACAGCTTCCAAATTAGTCTAGCCCGTGGACAGTTGAGTAAAATATGTTCAGTTGTCTCAACTTCTTCACCACATCCCCTACAAGTAAGGTCAATATTCACTCTTCTTTTCCAGAGATTAGTAGCCACAGGGAGGGTGTCAGTGGCACATTTCCACAGAGAATGTTTTATTTTTCCTTGAACCTTCCGGGACCAACTTCTTCTTCTCATACCCAAAGTGATTTTTTGACAAGAGCTGCTTTCTGCAAAGTCAAGAGAGGACCATTTTTTTTTCCATTAAGCTTGAGTAGACTGAGGAAACAGTTAGAGGGTGAGAGGTTGGAGAATCCTCCCAGACCAGCTTATCTATACCAATAGGATCTAAATCTCTGATTTTGAGAATAGCACTCACTTCAAAGGGAGAAAAAATAGAGTTGAGGGTATTAAGATCCCAATGCCTACCAGTCTCATCCAATAGGTCCTGCACCCAGGTCAGACCACATTGAGCTTGTCTGCTGATGTGATTATGAAGTTTAGGGATGGAGGGGATCCAAGGCTGCTTCCAAATATTTATTCTTCTGCCATTTTTAATGTCATACCTTAAGCCACCCTTCTTAGAGTTCAAACACAAGGAGTCCCTCACCTGGAGCCAATTGTTCTAAAGCCATGAGCTGTTTTGCTTCTTTGAAATGTTGAAGAAGCTATCATTTTGAAAGTATCTAGCCTTCAGAACCTTACTCAATAGGAGATTGGGCTTAGTAAGGATCCTCCAGATTTGCTTGGTGATCAGAGCCATATTCATGAGGTTGATATCCTTAAATCCAAGCCCACCTTTGTCTTTGGGAATTGTGATTGACTTCCAGGCTTTCCAATGAATGTTGTGTTTGCTTTGATCACCATTGCTCCACTAGAACTCAGCAATAGATTTTTCAATGTTCACTTTGGTGGCTTTAGGAATGAGAAAGCAGGACATTGTATAAATGGGCAGTGCACACAAAACTGAGTTGATCAACACCTCTTTTCCTGCAGTAGATAAAAACTTGGTTTTCCAGTTCATAATCCTACTTTTTACAGATTTCTCAACATAAATGTATCAATTTTAGATTTCCCCAGCCCCAGAGGTAATCCAAGATATTTTGAAGAAGAATGAACAGGGATTCCATGTAGAGTATTACAAATTTGATTTTGAATATGACTTGGGGTGTTCTTACTGAAAAAGATGGAGGATTTTGAGAGATTGACAGTTTGACCAGTGAAGAGTTGATATTCATTGAGGATTTGCAGAAGAAGGATGGTTTGCTCATTAGTGGCCTGGGACAGAAGAAGAGTGTCATCAGCAAAGAGGATGTGAGTGAGGTTTGGCCCATTTCTGTTAATTTTGAGGCCTTTCCAGTTACCCTTCTCAACTTCAGCTCTGAGTAAGCTAGAGAAAATTTCTGAAATTAAAATGAATATGTAGGGAGACAAAGGATCTCCCTGTCTAATTTCCTCTCTTAGCTTGCACAAACCCAGAAGGAGAACCATTAATGTTAAAAGAAAAGCAAGTAGAAGAAAGGCAGGCCATAATCCAGTTAATGAAATGAGAATCAAACCCCAGTCTACAAAGAATTTGGCTAATGCAGGGCCACTCTACCCTATCAAAGGCTTTAGACATATCCAATTTGATGGCCATGTAATGAGAATTGCCTGATCTATGTCTGTTAAGAAAATGCAAGGATTCATGAGCAATGATCACATTGTCCAAAATGTATCTGTCAGGGATAAATGCAGACTGGCTGTCACTAATACAAAGAGGAAGCCATTTTTTAAGCCTGTTGGCAAGGATTTTAGAGATAGTTTTACAGAACACACTACAGAGGCTGATAGACCTGTAGTGAGAGACTAAGTTTTGAATTTTGGGGATAAGAGTAATAAGGGTATGATTGAGGCTTTTGAGGATTCTACCAGATTAAAAAAAACTAGAGACAGAAGAGCAAAAATCTGTTTTAATGGTATTACAGAAAGAATGGAAAAAGGAAGAGGACATACCATCCATGCCTGGGGCTTTATTGCTGTCAATGTTGAAGAGGGAGTCTTTGATTTCAGCTTCTTCCACCATGGTTAATATCTCAGAGTTCATTTCAGCAGTGATGACTGGTTGAATATTTGAAAGAAGATGGTTTCCTCCTGAGGATCCTTCTGAAGTGAACAGTTTGGTGTAGAATTCCTCAATACAATTGGTGATCTCAGTTGTTGTAGTGCAAGAAATACCATCCTCTTTGAGCAGCTTATTGATTTTATTAATTTTCTTTCTTTGGGCTGTATGAGCATGAAAATACTTGGAATTTTTTTCACCCTGTTGGAGCCAGGTGATTCTAGCTTTTTGTCTCCAGAATTGCTCCTCAAGTATGTTTTCATGGTTCAGTTCTCTTTTACAAGCATCCCAAAGAAGCCAATCCCTGCCATCTCCTGCTGCTCTTTGTTGTTCAAGAGAAGAATGGAGTTGATTCAGTTTTGCCTTTCTGTCAGAATTAAAGTCTTTGCCCCATTTAAGAAGTTCAACTCTAGTGTTTTTAATTTTGGATTGCAAATTGAACATTGGAGTGCCCTCATTGGATACAGACCAAGCTGATTCAACCACTTTCTGAATTCCTTCTTTGGATAGCCATCTCTGATCAAATATGAATCTTTTCTTAGGGCAAGCCTGATTTGATTGATGTTTCAATAGTAGCAAGCTGTGATCAGATGAGTATCTGAATACATTGAGCACAGTGGCAGATGAGTAGTGAGCAGCCCAAGCTAAAGAAACAAAGATCCTATCTAACCTCTCTTCTACATAGCCTTCTTCTGATCTACAATTTTCCCAGGTAAACTGGTGACCCTGAATGCCCAAGTCCTGCCCTCCCAAATTGTAGATGAAGTCATTGAAGAGTGTGAATGAAGAGTTAGCTCGGATTCTACCCCCATTCTTGTCCTCATGACTAGTGATATCATTCCAGTCTCCACCAACAAACCAAAATTCCCTCCATTTCATATTTTCTTGCAAAAGAAATTCTCTCTGCTCTAGTCTAGTTTCATAATCAGTGCTGGCATATATGAAGATACCCCAGCAAGCAGCATTCAAGATAGGATCCCAGAATTGAACTTGGAAACAAAAAGGGTTTTTAAGAATTTGCAAAATAGAAATGGAAGAGTTCCAAAAAAGGAGAAGGCTCCACTCTTACCATTAGGTTCAACAGAAGCCCAATTATCACCTACATTAAGGTTGCTACAAACAGTCCTAATAAAAGAGTCTTTCTTTTTTGTTTCAGATAAAAAGGTAAAAATTGGAGTGTGGAGTCTATCTGTCTCCTTAATTTGGGATACTGTAGAGGGGCCACCCAACCCTCTACAGTTCCAAAAAATGGTGTTCATTGATGGGGGTGGGGCCATTCAGGGCTGGCCTCCCTCACCACTGTCAGAGCTAGTTTCTGTTTTTTAGGTTTCTGAGGAACATGGATCTCTGGATTTTCTGTGTTTAATGATGTGGATAAGGTAAGTTGTCTCTTACCTCTGGTGAGCATGGATGATGAAGATGGGGTAGAGGAAGTTTTGGGTTTAGTGGTAGATCTCCTTTTCCATTTCTTTTGAATAATATGAGAGATTTGCTTTAGAGGAGGAATAGATGAAAGGGGAATAAGTTGAGAAGAATTTTCAAGTGGATTTTGAGGATCTTCAGACATTATGAGATCAGTGTGATGGATTGGTGAAGCTGTATTTGGGGATGATTGAGGTGTTAGAGCTGTAATAGGGTGAATAGGTTCTATGACAGGTTCAGAGTGATGGTTTTGAACAGGATCTTTGGAATTATTGTTGGCTGATTTAGAAAATTGGGAAGATTGTTTGTTGGAGGGAGATATGTTAGAAGGGGTAGTGGCATTAGGAATGGGTGATTCTGAGTTCAAGTTTTGGGGGGAATGGGTGAATAGTTTCTGGTATTCTGAGGCT